ACGCAGAGAACATCCAAGGGTACCCTGCCCAGGATGCACAAGAACATCCAACAAACACGAAGGACACTAGGGTACCCTCCCCGCACCGACCTCGATCTTACTAGGGGAACGGAAAATTACATAAATATAAAAACTCGGAGGTCCGCGCGGACCTCCGAGTTGTTTGTTTCTATGTCATTGCTCGCTGCCCTACTTATGACTGTACTGACGAGCATCGGACGGCCAGATCTACGATGCTCACCGCCCCTGGGCAGGCCCATCCTGGGCCCAGCGGGCGGCGCATGCACCACTCCTATTAGGTCGGGCGTGTCCTCCTACAGGTGGATAAATCACCGAAACTAGCGAAAAATATACAAAGAAACTATTTGTCATTATTCCCTACCTAGGCTCTGCCTAGAAGGGTTCTTACTGTCTTGGCTTAAAGGGGCCGGGCAGTGGAAAACGCCCCGGGCGGTTCCCCCAGCATCCGCCCCGCGGTTCCCCCCTGTACGTCCCCTTAGCTTAGCGTTGCTTATCTCATCTTAGCTGAGCTTATGTCATCTTATATTAGCTTAGCTTCATCTTAGCTCAGGTTTATATTAGCTTAGCTTACCTTCATCTTAGCTTCGCTGAGCTTTAGCATAGCAGAGCACAGCATAGCATAGCAGAGCGTAGCATAGCATAGCGCAGCACAGCATATCATAGCATAGCCCAGCATAGCATAGCATAGCGCATCATAGCATAGCATAACATAGTATAGCGCAGCACTGCACAGCACAGCATAGCACAGCGCAGCATAGCATACCATAGCATAGCATGGCAGAGCATAGCATAGCATAGCGCAGCTTAGCATAGCATTAGCATAGCATTAGCATAGCATAACGTAGCGCAGCGCTGCATTAGCATAGCATAGCGTACCATAACATAGCCAAGCATAGCATAGCATAGCACAGCACAGCACAGCATCGCATAGCATAGCATAGCGCAGCTTAGCATAGCATAGCATAGCATAGTTTAGCATAGCACAGCGCAGCATGACATAGCATAGCATAGCATAGCTTAGCATAGCATAGCATATCATAGCATTAGCATAGCATAGCATAGCGCAGCATAGCATAGCATAGCATAGCATAGCGCAGCATGGCATGGCATGGCATAGCATAGCATAGCATAGCAACTAAAGCTGTTTTCCTAGGGGCTCCAACTTCTAGGTAGGGTCGCACTGGGGTAATTTTTGAACATTCCTCCTGTAGGGGGACACGCCCGACTTAATCCTCGTCCCAAGAAAGGCTGCAGCCCGCCTGCGCCCTCTGCGCCGGCTTCCGCGAAACGCCCATTGCGCTCGCTCGTGGGCGCTGTCGGCTGCGAGGCAAAAACAAAAATCTGCTGCGAAGCACCATCGGCGAGCCCAGCTTCGGTGGCGGCGGCAGCGAGCCCAACGATGGCAGCGGCGGCAGCAAAGTCGACGCTGGTACTGATGGCAGCGCGCTCGACACAGTTTTGACAGCAGCAGCATATCCGACACCCCCAGCGGGCAAGGGAGGACGCCAAGATCGAGAGAGAGAGAGAGAGACGTCAGCAGGGGCGACGCCTAGGTCATCTTCCTCGAGAGTACGGGCGGCGTGCAAGCCATGCGCGTGCTAAGCTCGTCCGTCCGTCTGGAGGGGGCCGGGCTCTCGTGACCTGCCCAGGCTCCGGCCAAGAGAGGAAAGGCATGGACGCTGCAATGCACTGCCCTGCCTGTCACCGCACAGCATGCAGTAGCTTGCAGCAAGTACTCAGCTCTCGCCCCTGTGCCCCAGTATATAATTACGGAGAGCTGCGCCTGCGATTCGACCGCCTCGTCGACGCCAGAACCTGGTCGGCCCCCTGGCCTCTACCGATGGATCACGCCTATTGTAGAATCGTGACTTTTATTTCAAAACAAACCTACAAAAGAAGAGTGACAATAGTAAATACAAACATTGGGGAACGATCAAAAAACAAAAAACGGGGGAACGATGGTGAGCGTTTTCTCATTCGGCGTTTGGATATTCGGCGGAAGGGGGTGGGGGAGGGGGGGATCTGGCTCTGGACCTCTGCTTAATGCGACTGTTTGCAACAGTGCGTCCCATGGGGGAGACTCCACCTGCTCGAAACAGGCGCCCAAAACAGCCAAGATCCACTCCATAGGGGGGGGGAAGGGGGGTGCGAGGGCCAGCACATATCGGCAAAACACTAAATAAAAAACGATATGAAATAGAAAATACCTGCCGCCGGGGAAGACTCGATCAAAGAACCGCGCTGACAACGACGACGACGACGACGACGACGACGACGACGACGACGACGACGGCCACGAGCAGGCCAGGAGCCCAACTTATGAATCATCGCCCAGGGGCGCTGCCGCGTGACGGGCCCCCTGAGGCATTTCTTGATCGCCATCCTGCACTGCCTCTTTCAAGGCTTAACGACTTCTGCCGTCCTTCGACTCGCGTTGGAGCGGTCGCGAATTGCTCCAACTTTCCCTGGAGATCTCTCGAGTTACCTGGATTTGCCAGGATGTATCTCGATTTACCTGGATTGACCCAGATTTATCTGCATTTATCGACAAGCCCTTCCCTGCCCCCCCCTCCCCCCCTCCGTTCCCTCGGCTCGCCACCCCGCCCTCTCCCCGCCTCGCCGCACGAAGCGCGCCCAGTGCGGAGCCAGGCCTGGGGGGCCGTAACACCCCGTCGCCCCCAAGGCGGGCACCAGCACGGCGCCGCGAGTCTCGGAGCGGAAGGTCCTGCATTACCCTTCCCTCCCCCTTCTCCTTCTCCTCCTCCTCCTCCTCCTCCTCCTCCTCCTCCTCCTCCTCCTCCTGCTGCTCCTCGTCCTCGTCCTCGTCCTGCTCCTCCTCGTCCTCGTCCTCCTCCTCCTCCTCCTCTTCCTCCTCGTCCTGCTCCTCCTCCTCATCCTCTTCCTCCTCCCTGGAGTCATGACAAAAATCACGACGGGAGGTACCTCGCTACTTTCAGCCGCTGGGGGCCCTTGCAGGGCCTCGGGACCGTCAAAAGACTGCTCGGGATGAAAAAAACAATCGCGGGAGGGGGTCGAGACCTTGGGGGGTCGTCGTCATGAGAGAAGCATGACGTCGGGGGTCTGGGGAGCAAGGCCGCTCGGCCGCAGAGGCCCCCAACTGTGCCCGCGGGGGGGGGGGGGGGGGCAAATTGTGCGACGAGAAGAAGCGGACCTTCCGCGGTTGCATAGCGACACTGCGCGGTGGCTGACGCGGACCGCCAGCGTGGCACGCCACGCTGGAAACCGAGGGCGCGTAACGTGACCTTCTTACGCGGGACCCCGAAGTACGCGCACATGTCGGTGAAGATGACCCCGCTTTCCTGCGTCGCCCAGGTGTGCCTGAGGAGGAGGAGGAGGAGGAAGAGGAGGAAGAGGTGGAGGAGAAGGAAAAGGACGACGACGACGACCCCGCAGGGGGTGGGGGGCCGTCGGGGACCGAAGGGAAGGAAGCCGTCCCCTGCCCTGGACTTCAGGGCGGCCTCCTCTGCCCCGCCTCCATCCGAGGAAGCTCTCGCGGGCGCGCCTCCCGCGCGCTCGAGCAGCAGCTCCGAGGGAGCCCCACCGAGCGGCGACATCCGAGCCCCGCCCCCGCCAACCATCGATGGCCTGAATCGACGGGAGACGAGTGGGGGGCTCGGACCTCGCCACAAGCTCGACGACTTCCGGACCCTGCCCCCCGCCGCCCATCGAGTTGCCCGAATCGCTGATCGGCGAGGATGGGGTTCGAGTGTCGCCGCCGACCCATGCATCCATGAAGCCAGGCCCTGGCCGAAAGGACGGGAGGCCGAGGCCGAGGCGGTCGCCGCGCGCTCGAGCCACGTGGGCACCCCACGCCCAGAGGGCCGAGCCTGGACACCTGGCGGGCTCGGATGGCTCGAGCCAACCTGTCCAAAGGTGACGCGGGTCGGCGGCGAAACTTGAACCCTACCCACGCCGATCACCGACGATTCAGGCAACCCGATGGGCGGGGGGGGTAAGATTCGAAATTCGTCGAGTACGTGGCGAAGTCCGAACCTTACCCGAGCCTCCCATCGACTCAAGAGGATCGATGATTGGCCAGGGTAGGGTTCGGATGTCGCCACCTGGCGGGAGAGGGGTCAAAACGCTTGCAGAGCCGCGTCTCTCACAAGATCGAGCCGCCGGACATCTGGGAGCAGGCCAGGCCCCCCAGGCGTTTTGCTGATCCGAAGGCACTCCAGCGCGCCAACCCCGTTCCAGCCCGCGGTGGCCCAGCGCTCGGGCCGGTCGCGGAGGCCGAAAGATTGGTACAGGGGGTGAGGGCCTTGAATTGGCGGCGAGCCCGGGGGAAGTGAGGGGGGGCAGGCCTGGTCAGAAGACTCGGAGGGGCTTCTCCGAAGCCCTCCAGCCTTCCGAGAAGCTGTCCGTCTTCGGAGAAGGCTTCGAGAGCTTCTCGGGAGGCCGGGAGCCTTCCGATAAGGCCCGCCCCCCTCTGCCTTCCCCCCGGGGCTAGCCGTTGGTTGAAACGTGCGTCGGAGAGAGAGGACCCGAATAGCAGAGCGACGAGATCTGTGCACATCCACTGCCCCAGGCCAGGCCCGTCATGGAACCACCGAGAGCGGTGCCCACGCCCCTCTGGCTTCGCCCAGGGAGGCGAATACGCCGCTCATGAACCCAGGATGGGCCTGGCCAAAGACGGTGGAATGTGTGTAGGTCTCGTCACCCGCATTAGACGCGCTGGTCAAGCTGCCGTGCTGGCCCACCACCGAGCAATTGGTACACAAACAGTTGCGGCCGCAAAATGCTGCAGTCACACTAGGCGCGCCCCGCCTCCATTCCGGAGCGTCGGCCTTCATTGTTGTGACAGCGCACTTCACCCATTGATTCCGAGGGTGGAGTGGATTGACAGTCGCGTCAAATGACTGGGGCGGCCAAACGATCGTCACACTAAATGACTCTGGTGGGTGGGTATGACCGACCTCGAGTTGCCGGCTCGGCTTATGCGACACCAGCAACCGGCGGCACCTGCACCCTACGGAAACCGCTGGCGGAGCACGGGCTCCGTCATAAGTTCCTCGATTCTCGGATCGGCACGAGCTGCTTGGAGGCGGCCAGGAGTTCTGACCTGGTCGACCCACAGAAAATCGATCCGGAGGGGGGATGCGGCCAAATCCGCTCGAAGTCAGTCCCTGGACCCCTCCCGGGAATCCACATGGTGCAGCTGTTCACCCTGGATCCGTTTTGACGGTCCTGGGGCCCGAAAACGGCCCCTGGCGGCCGAAGAGGTAAAACATACAATGAAGAACCCCCCCAAAAAACGAAACCTCAAAGCTCGCCTAGAGGTCTCCTAGATGGGGTCGGAGTAGATGGGGTCAGAATAGATGGGGTCAGAGGATCGCGCCGCATCGCCAATGCATCGGCGATGCATCGTCGACGTCGGCGATGGACGCATCGGCGACGTCGACGTGAAGCAAATCGGTCTGCATATCGAGCCGGATCGGCGATGCATCGGCGATGCGGCGCGATCCCCGGATCCACCTTCTCCGATCCCATCCAGGAGGCCTACATCGCCCCCCCCCCTCCTGCTGGCCAGGACCGGTGCTGGGCCACCTCAGACCCCCCGCGGGCCCCAAGGAGCTGCGGCTGCCAGGCATCAGGAGCAGCAGCCGGCGCAGCACGCGCAGCACGACTCGTGTTTGCCCTCCTGGTTGTCTCCTCGGAGGCCGGCCGCGGCGCGCCCCCGGGAGCGGTGCCCTCCCAAGAATCGCACAAAATCGTCAAAACACAATCTTTAGGTCGACCCCCTGTGCCCTCCTGCCTGAGCTCTCCACCTGCAGTTCTCAAAAGCAAGAGACGGCGTGCGGTGACGAGACCGAAGTGACCAGCGAAAATGCAGGGCGATGGGGCCGCACCAACCGATAACAGATGACGATTCGGGGATCTTCTGACCCGGGTCAATGCAGACCTGGGTCAGTCAGGCCTTGCTGAATCCTGCCAAACCCGGGTCAGCGCGAAGGATCCTGCAAGATCCTGCAGGATCCTGCACCCAAGCCCAGGTCAAGCCCTGCAGGATCCTGCAAGATCTGGCGCTCTGGCTGACCCCCGTTTGCATTGACCCCCGTCTCATGCACGGCTTCCCCCGGGGCCGTAGGCGACCACAGGAGGGGGAGGAGGAGGAGGAGGAGGAGGAGGAGGAGGAGGAGGAGGAGGAGGAGAAGGAGGAGGAGGAGGAGGAGGAGCGGAGCGGAGCGGAGCGGAGGCGCCGGTTCCGGGCACCGGGGGTGTCCGTGCCCTTTGGGCAAGGCGCAAAAGGCCGTAGCCTCAGACCGTGTGGGTGCTGAAACTCTGGATGACATAGTTCACGAACTGGAACAAATAGAGCGCGTGGTCGGAATAGGACAGCAACCAGCACAAATAGAATTTGTGGACGAAGTAGTACACGAGCCAGCGCAAATAGAAGACAGGGAAGACGGAGTTCAGGATTGTGCTTGCGGTCGGTGGTGTTTGTTTGTGGTCAGTGCTGGTGGTCGATTCCTGTGTTCTGTCCGTATTGTTGGTCGGTGCCACGTGCTGGTGGTCGGTGTTGGTTCGTGGTGGTCGATGCTGGTGTTCGGTGGCGTTTGGTGCTTGTGGCGCTGTTGGTCGTTGGTTGGTGTCTGTGGTCGGAGCTGGCGTCGGTGCTGTCGGTGCTTTGCTGCTGCTGCTGTTGGTGCGGTCGGTGCTTGTACCGGCGTTGCTGGTGCCGCTGTTAGGTTATGTTGGGGACACACCAGTGCAACTTGTGTGTTGTCACAAGGTGGCGTGCACACGTCTTGCGGGATCGCCCTGCCGATTCCCACGGGGAGGGTGTACCGTTTCAGGTAGGTGGTCCAATGGCCGATGCACTCTTCATGTTTGTTCGTGTTGGCTCCGTCTGTGCAGGATAGGCCGGTAGATCCAAAACGTTGGCATTACAGTTGCACCATCAAGCCCCGCACGCACGTAAAGGGGCTGCGTAAGCTAGGAGTCGGCGCCCCAATTTCCGCCCCTCCTTACAATGTTTCTGTCTTGTCCCCCGGCGCTTATCCCACTAAGTGGGATTGCTCTCCTGTGCGCGTGATGTCTGACATGACGACTTGTGGCTGCTGCTGTTGGGCGGTTTGCACAGTCAACTGGTGTATGCAAGGAAGCTGCTTTCAAGTGTGTCCCACCACATTGTCTCCGTTGCGACTGTCAACGATCTTATGTCGTTGCTGTCGTAGTGGATATACTGCCGTGGGCGAGTGGTTTCGTTGGTGTTGCCTTGTGTGGCTGCGCCGCTGGTGGTCTGGTGAAAACTTTTGAGAATTTTTCGAATGTCGTCGTCCCACCGCTTTTGTTGACCACCATGTTTCCGATGGCCCTGCTGACTCTCGTCAAGAGACGGGTTCCAATTCATTGCTCGTTGTGTCCATCGGTGCGGTGGGTGATGTGCTACTCGTGCGGCCCAGCGCCAAACCTTTTCTCTGTGTATTTGCTCCACGCCAGGGGTGTCGTGCATGCTCATTAGCTCTTCGGCTCTGCGCGTGCTACGACGGATGAAATCGGACCACAGCTCGCTGTCGTCCGTCGTCTGGTCGTCGCTAGTGTCTTCACGCGGAGTAGGCGGGTTGCTGGATGCGTCGTGGTCGCTGGAATCGTTGGGATCGTCTCTGCTGGGGTCGTGGTCGTTGTGGGTGTCCGTGGGCGGGGTGGGGTGTGTTGAAGTGCGAGTGTTCGTGCGCCTTCTCGGTGTTCCGATGATCGCTCTGACCATTCGTCGCTGTGTGCGGCGTAGCTGTTGCCTGAGAGACTCTGTTAAGGTCCACGTCTCTGCGCCGTACGTCAAGGTGGGTATTACAGTGCCACGGTAGAGTCGCAGCCTGTGCTGGAGTGGGTAACGTTTGCTCGTGAGCTCTTGTCTGTGCCCTGTGAAGCATGCCCGCGCAGCCTGTATGCGATGTTTGATCTCTGTCGCCGAAGCGTCCTGGAACGTCATCGTCTGGCCGAGGTACGTCAGCTTGCCGGTGCACGGGACAACTTCGATGTCGATGTTTGCAATCGTGGCCTTGCGCGTTCGAATCCTTGGTTGGTTTGTCATGATCTTCGTCTTGGTCGGGTGTATTTCGAGGCCGTGGGGTTTTGCTGCTGTGAGTAAGTCGGTGATTAGCGTCTTCAGATTGGAAACATCTGGCTCACCAAAAGGATGTCGTCGGCGAAGCGGAGGTTTGTGAGAATAGATTCGTCGGTGCGTGCCAATTGGACTCCACGTCGTCGTCGCTGCCATTCTGGGATGAGAGGCGCTAGCACATGTTGTAGAAGAGCGTTGAACAGCAAAGAACTCTGAGGGTCTCCCTGTTTTGTGCCGCGTCGGAGCTTGAAGGGCCTGGTGGTGGAGTCGGTACGGATGACGGCCTCCTGGTCGTGGTAAAGGCGCAGGAGTAGGTGGACGCATTCGGGCGCCACCCCCTGTCGACGTAGTGCTGTCCATAAGCTGCTGTGCTCCACTGTGTCGAACGCCTTTTTGAAGTCTACGGCGGCGATCCACAAAGCTTGGTTCCATTCGGAAGCCCGTTCCCGCAGTATGTTAAAGGTGAAAAGGTGGTCGGTCGTGCCGCGCCCAGGTCTGAAGCCCGCTTGGTCGTCGGGTTGTTGCTGCTCTAGTATTGGTGATAGTCGGTTGTACAGGAGACGACTAAACAGCTTGTATAGCATGGGTATCGTACATATCGGGCGGTACTTTTGTGGAAGTGTCAGATCGCCCGATTTGGGAATGACTTTGATCACCGTTTTCCGCCAACTTGATGGTGTCGGAGCGCTTGGTTGTATGACCGCGTCGTATAGCTGCAACAGTACACGTTGAAGCTCCGGGCACGGTGTTTTGAACATTTCGGCCTTTATCCCGACGCCGTCGGGTGACTTTCCTGGCTTGAGTTGTGATATTGCTGTCTCGAGTTCTTGAGGCGTGAAGGCTGGGATGCTGTGTTCGGAGTCGTCTGCGGTTGGTGGTGAGTCGTGGGCGTCTGTGGAATTGTACAGTTCCTCGTAGAAGGTCGCGAATACATTAACGATCCCTTGGCGGGCGTTGTGCTTGATGCCGTCTTTGTCGAACATATCCGTGATTAGCGTCCGCGCTCCCCTCGTTTTGATTGAGCTGATACGTTTGAGGTCCTTGTGTTGCTCCAGGATGGTGCTTATGTGCTGTCGTCGTTTGGTGCGCTTTTGCTCCCGGATGTGCTGTTGTATTGTTTTACTGATCGCTCGTCTTCTGTCTGCGTCTGCTCTGGGAATGCCCTTGCGTTGGTTCACGAGGTTGTGAATAGTGTCGTGGCCTGCTGGGTTCGTCAGGTTGTGTCTCTCCGGCGGTCATGCTCTGCAGCTTGATGTCGTTCATGCTCTTCTCGATTGTCTCCGCGAGCTCGTCTGGATCAGCTGGTAGATGTTCGCGCTGTAGTTTGGAGCCCAATGTCTGTTGGTATTCGTCGCAATCGGCGCGTCCTCGAGGCCAGTGCGCGGAGTGTCTGGTCGATCGTGGGCGTTTGGACTGGTTGTCTGTCTTGGGCTCCCAAATGTTGAAACGCATTTGTACGGACACGGCTTTGTGGTCCATGTTGAGATCAATGATGTTGCTGGCTTCGGAGTTTCTGCACGAGGGTAGCAAACATCTGTCTACCAGTATGTAATCGTATTGTCGTGGCTTGCCGCCTGTCGTCGCGTAGGTGACCAGCTTGTCCGGAGGCTTGCGGAAGAACGTGTTCACGATTGCCAGCCTCTCTAAGGTAGCCCAATGGCGTAACCAATTGGCCTCGGGAATTTTCGTCGCCGAATCCGTGGGGGCCCACGTAGCGAGAGCACATGTCGGAACGGATATCCTCAGAGCCGGCGTCTCCGTGAAGAAGTTCACTCGGAAGGCGTGGTTTGGAGCCAACTTGAGCGTTGAAGTCGGCCGCAAGAACTGTGCGGATCCGTCGGGAACGTGCCTCTTTGAGTAAAGCGCTGACGATGTCGTACAACTGCTGTATGTGGATGTCCGTGTACCCAGTGTGGGGAAAATATGCCGATATAAGTTGTAATATGATGTTGCCCTTCTTGATTGTGAGCGTAGCAATCCTTGCGGAGATAGCCTGGAACTCTGCAACGTGTTTGCCCCAACGTTTATGCAGAAGGATTGCGACTCCGTGCGAACGGCTGTCGTTGCCAGACCCTGCAAAAGTATGCCCATCTGAAGTGATCCACAATTCTTGTCGCGTCGTCCGCCACGTCTCATTGAGCAGAACTGCATCCCAATGCGCATTACGTAAATCATACAATAACTCGTCAATCCGGTCATCTGTCTCCAAGGATCTCGCGTTTTTGTGAATGACTGTGAAATCGATGTTAGTGTCGTGGCTGGTATCCCCGATGGCTTTGGTTTGGCCGCTGGTCTGTCCAGTCTGGGAGGAGGCGGTCTGGGAGGAGGAGGAGGAGGAGGAGGAAGAGGAGGAGGAGGAGAAGGAGGAGGAGGAGGAAGAGGAGGAGAAGGAGGAGGAGTAGGAGGAGGAGGGGGAGGAGGAGAAGGGTGAGGGGGAGGAGGAGGAGGAGGAGGAGGAGGACGAGGAGGAGGAGGAGCAGGAGGAGGAGCAGGAGGAGGAGGAGGAGGAGGGGAAAGAGGAGGAGGAGGAGGAGGAGGACGAGGAGCAGGAGGAGGAGGACGGGTCGCCTGAGCCCTTCGGAGAAACCCTCCACAGTCTCAATGCTCCCGAACGATAACGATGACTGGTGACCGGTGGCCGACGGCCGATGGGCGATGGCGGTCCTGACTCGACGGTGTCAGTCACGAACTTCTTGAGCTTCGCGGGGACCCGCCGCCCCCTCCCGCAGCGGGAAGGGGGGCCCCGGGGGCGCTGGGTCGGCCGGCCTGCGGGGAGTCGATGACGAAGCCGGCGAAGGGATCGGGGTCTGAGAGGAAGACGGGACGAGGATGAAACTGGGTGAGGATTAAATCGAGAATCTCTGAGATTCGGCGGCTCTGGAAGATGTGTCGGGCGCCGCCCTCGAAGGGATTTATCCTCGTTAGCCCCGTCCGATCTAGGTCGCCTCACTGCACGCATCGCGCCCACACATGCGCGACGCGCGAGCATCATTAAACAGCCTCGCACTCATCGCTATCCCTAAGATTGACAGGCCCAAAGGCGACAACAATCGTAGATACCTTAAGATCGGCATCGAGATCAGGTGCTGCCAGTCATAGGGATACAGGTCGGTCGGAAGAAGTGGGTAGAAGCGTGAAGTAGGAAGGCTCTGGAAGTAGATTGGGCTTCCGCCCGCCTCCTGAAGAGGAGGCAAGAGGGAAAACCGATCGACTCTTGAAGTAAGAAGGCGGCTGAAGTAGATTGGGATCTGGGAATCTACAATTACCGACTTTCAACGAGGGGCGACTAAGGATAGTCTTAGATAGGCATATCCTCCTACAGGCGGATCTGGGAAGAAAATTCAAAATAGTCTAAGAAATCAAAATTCGGCGATGCGTCGGCGATGCATCAGCGATGCGGCGCGATCCTCCGACCCCATCTGCTCGGATCCCATCTGGGAGGCCTAAATCTCCGCCCGAGCCGTTCTCTTCGGACGCCCGAAATGGGCACGGAAAGAATGGGTACAATGCCCAACAACAAATGTTGTCCCAAACCAACAGCGGCCGCTGTTGGGCAGGCGGCCTTCTGTCTCGAATGGACACAGGCCGCGGCGGCGTGGACAGCGAATCCTGTTCAAAATGAACAGGAACTGCTGTTGGGCATTGTACCCATTCTTTCAGTACCCATTTCGGGCGTCCAGATTCTCTACCCTGGCCCCGCGGCGCGGCACGCCCAACGGCCGGCGACAGCAGGAATCCTTCGGCCCCGCTGGTGTGCACGGCGTGGGGGGCCCCACTCGGGGACTGCCCCCCGGGACCACCCGTGCCCACTCGGGGTCGTGGCGCTCCGTCTTGGAGGCCTCTGGGCCGTCCTGGGCCGTCGGAGGCCCGAGAGTGCGAGAGCGAGAGCTCGAGGGCCCTCCCGGAGCATCTCTCGAGCGACCAATGAGCTGGGCCACCTGGGAGCCGGCTGGAGCAGCTCGGAGCGTCCCTCGGGACCACGGAGGCCTCGAGAGCCGGGCGCGCCTCCGTGGCAGTCGGAACCCTACGCCTATCCGGCTGCCCTGGCTTCGCTCCCCGACCCGTGGACGCGACGCACCGCAGCACCGCTGCACTCTCCTGCGGAGTCACTGTGGTCACATCGCTTCATCCATCGCCTCCTCGCCACCGCCTTCGTCTTCGTCGCCTCTGCGGCATTGCTGCCGCCGCCGCGTTGTTACTGCTGTCGTAGGCACCGCCGCTGTAGCGTTCGCACACGCATGTCTGAACATTCCTAGCTCGAGAACGCAATTCCAAAAAATAATGCGAGGTGCATACAGAAAAACGTCAACGGCGCCAGCCGCTCGTATGAAGCTGTTGTCTATGCCCATCTCCTCGGTGGCGATGAAGCACTGCAGTGTCGCATCCACCGCGAGGCCGAATACGTCCATGAACAGCACCTTCCCACAATTCCCCATCTCCTGTCTAAACTCCCAGCGCATGAAGGTAGTATCCTCCTTCCCCCCGGAAGCCACCACCTCCCAGGTACTATACGTTCTGTGTTCTGTCACGCAGGATGCCCCAGCGGTGGTGATATACCTGTACATATGTATACATATGTGCATAATGTGTTGACCTTTGCCTTACTCATCCACCCGTCCAGGGGAGCCTCGGGGCCGTTTGAGGGCCATCTGCAGGCCCTCTTGGGCGATCGCGCGCCCACTTCGCAACCCTCTTGGGCCTCCTTGAAGCGTCTGGAGACACCAGGAAGCCCCTCGGACACTGAGGCCTCCTTGGGCCGCCTCGACCTCCCCTGGGGATTCGCGTGCCATGTCTTCAGGCTCTCTTGACCGTCTTGGGACACTGTTGCGGGCCTCGATCTGCACGCCAAACCTCAAATCCAACCAGCCCTTTGGGCGACAGGTGGTCTAAGGAGGGTATCTTTCCTCTTCCACAACCCCTTCTTCCTCTTCGGGGAGGGGTTCACCCCTCCCCCTACCCCGTCCCCTGGACCTGGACGGGGGGGGGGTCGCGACGAGTTAGAGGGTCCTTTTCCAGCCCCTGGGAGGGCCAATGTTTGATATCCCTCACGGGGATCGTGGCCCCCGAGGGGGGGACCAACATAAAGGAACCCCCTCTTTTGATCGATCACCTCCCAAGATGGCCCCAAGAGGCCCTCCACGGCTCCCAAGAGGCTCACAAGAGGGCCCGAAGAGCGCCCCAAGAAACCCCGAGAGGCCTCCAAGAGGCACCCGGGAGGCCCCCAAGAGGCCCCCGAGCGGCCTCAGAGAGGCCAAGATGACCTCCAAGATGGCTGAGATAGCCCAAGCTTGCACAAGATGGCTCAAAAGATGCTCCGAACGGCCCCAAGACCGCTCCAAGACGGCTCGAGATGGCCACGGAGCCTCCCAAGCCTCCCTCGCTCTTTGACTACGCGTGTCTCTGGGACTTTGCGCGCGCGTGTGTGGTCTAACCTTCGAGAAACATGGCGCCAGCATCGGTGGGGTACTGTCATTCTGAGCCCGAGGAACCGCACCTGGCGCAACCGCTCGCTGTTCGGGGATCGACTGACCCGGGTCAATGCAAATCCAGATCAGTCGGGCTTTGCAGGAAGGCTCCTGCAAGATCCTGCAGAATCCTGCAGGATCCTGCGCGCTAACCTGGGTCAGTGCACCCCTGGCCCTGCAGGATCCTTTAAGATTCGGAGCTCTGGCTGACCCCCGTTTGCATTGACCCGGTCCCTTACGGCTCGATGTCTCCCCACGCCAGATGCGCCAGCGGACGGGGCGCGCGCTTCCTCAGTCGAGGTGACCTTCGGCCTTCAGAGCTGCAGCCGCGCCCGCAGGGCCAGCCACGTGGCCCGCCTGCCATGCTCCTGCCTACCTGGTCTGCCCTGTCGTCCTGGCTTGCCAACCCCTCTGCTAGCCCGTCCCCTCCTCATCGTCATGCAGATCCTCATCGAGCTTCTCAACCTCCACGCACTTCTCCTACTCCTCCTCCTCCTCCTCCTCCTCCTCATCCTCACCACCACCACCACAACCATCACTATCACCATCACCATCTTCATCACCATCTTCTTCTTCATCCTCATCATCAACATCAAAATCAGCATACTCCTCATCAGCATCAGCATCAGCATCCTCATCATCAACATCATCATCATCATCATCGTCATCAGCATCGTCATCATCATCATCATCATCATCATCATCATCATCATCATCATCATGATCATCATCATCATCATCATCATCATCATCATCATCATCATCATCATGATCATGATCATCATCATCATCATCATCATCATCATCATCATCATCAGCATCATCATCATCATCATCATCATCATCATCATCATCATCAAAATCAGCATCATCAGCATCATCAGCATCATCATCAACAGCATGATCAGCAGCAGCATCAGCATCATAAGCATCATCAGTATCATCACCATCAGCAGCAGCATCAGCATGATCATCATCAGCAGCATCACAACCATCATCATCAGCATCAGCATGATCATCACGATCATCGTCAGCATCATCATAATCAGCATCAGCATCATCATCATCAGCAGCATCATCATAATCAGTGTCATCATCATCATCATCATCATCAACAGCAGCATCATCATCAGTATCATCATCAGCATCATCATCACCAACACCAACACCATCATCATCATCGTCATCATCATCATAATCATCATCATCCGCATCATCCGCATCATCATCACCACCACCACCATCATCATCAGCATCATCAGCATCGTAATCATCAGCATCAGCATCAGCATCATAATCAGCATCATCATCATCAGTATCAGCATCATCATCATCGTAATCGTCATCATGCTCATCATCATGAGCAACAGCATCGTATTCATCATCATCATCAACAACAGCATGATCATCATCATCATCATCATCATCATCATCAGCATCAGCATCATCATCGTCATCATCATCATCATCATCATCATCAATATCATCATCAGCATCATCACCACCACCATCATCATCAGCATCATCATCAAGATCATCATCATTACCATCATCCTCATCCGCATCCTCATCATCATGTTCAGCATCATCATCAGAATCATCATCATCGTCATCATCGTCATCATCATAATCATCATCATCATCATCAGCATCATCATCATCATCATCTGCATCAGCATCACACTCAGCAACAGCATCATCATCACCACCACCATCATCATCAGCAGCATTATCATCACCACCACAAAAACCATCATCATCGTCAGTATCATAATCATCAGCATCAGCATCATCATCAGCATCAGCATCATCAGCATCATCATCAGCAGGAGTATCATAATCATCATCACAATCAGCAGCATCTCATGAGCACCTCACGTCCTCTGCTCCTTGTAGGTAATAACTCCTCTTCGCCGCGCAACCAGACGGACAGGGCGGACAGGGCGCTTCGCCTGAGGTTCCATCCCAGCTATAGCATTGAAATGGAATATTCCCGCTCTGAGGATGGCGGGTGGTACGTCTGGCAGATCGCGCTCTCGCCTCAGACCCCACAGGACATCTAACCCAGAGCTCCACTGTCCAGAAGAGGGCGGCTCGTTTTCACCATCGCACTTGTGCCCAAAACTCCCACGATGTCTCGAGGCTCGAAAGCTTCGCGCAGCTACATCTGTAAAGGGTGCTATCACACACATGTCAATGCCGAAGTATTGCCTCTGACGGAGCTAAAACTCCAGCGTTCGAACAGCTGCACGGGTGAAGCAGGAGACCCCAAAAAATGTACAACCATCAACTATTCTGGATGTTCACACGGAACTCTCGGACTGGCGCGCGCATCCCCCTCACTGGCGCACGGAGCGCGCCAGGGGCGACGCCGGAGGCGCCGCCAAGGGGATCCAGCGCCGATCCAAGAAAAATGCGCGAGGCTATGAAAACTTCCTGTCCACTTGGAAGAGAGTCCAATCAACAAAAATCCCCGGACAACCCCCCCAAACAACCCAGACAACACATGCTGACGAATGACGACAAGACGACCGATCCCAGACAACCCATTGGACAACCCAGCGGGGATCCGGACAACCCCTCCAGACCCCCCCTTGGACAAGCCTCCCAAGGTTTTTTCTTCAATAATATGACGTCTTTGTATATGCCACCTTTTTTCTTCCGATGGTTTGTCAGACTCGCGACCCCCGCCTCGGCGCCACGCCTCGCCCTCTCAAACAAGTCACCATCAGCCAGGGCTCAAGCTAAACTGTATTTTCCGTCTTCGTGTTGTGCTCGTTTTCCCGCATCCCGTATTCGTTCCACCTTGACGGCAAAACGACATAAAAACGACAACGGCCCAGGAAATCGCCCAAACACCTTTAGCTCGAGCCCTGCCACCAGCTCCAGGAATGCGAGGCGGCCCCCTCTCCAGCGCGGCGCCCCTGGCAGGCCACGCCGCCGAGGACGACCGTCGCCTTCTCAGGGCCGTGCCAAGGCGGCGAGGGCCTCGCCACCCCCAGCTCTCTCGGGGCCACCTCTGCGGCAAGGGCCGTCGGGCGCTGTCTCCCCAGCGGTCCCAGGCCCAGGACCGCGCCAGCACATAGAACAACCTGTTGGGACGCAGTGCTGGCGGACGCGAGCGCGACTGCAGGGCTGACGGACCGCACCAGACACTGGACGCATTGGAACGGGTGGAAAAGCGCAGGACGGCGGCGGAGGAGGAGGGAGGGAGGGGAGGAAGGAGGCACATAGGGAAAACAGTGAACGCCATCAGCATGCACTTCCGGAGGACCGCGGAGATGTGTTGGGTCGGCGCTGGAACCCCATGGCGGCGTCTCGGGCGCCGTTCCTGGCGCGCTCCCGCGCGCAAAGGCACAAGGCCCAGCGCCGATCCAAGAGGTCCTCGCGGACCTTCGAAGGTCTGTGCTCCTGCCGCGCTGACCTCCTCGAACACAGAATCGAGGGCGCAAGGAGCGCCCCTACCCTGGTTCACGAGGCACTGTGCGCTTCATCTCTTGTGGGCTGACCCGCGTGTCGCGCGGCGTTCTGGCGACTTTCTGGCCTTTGGGAGCTCCCGGGAGGCTTGCATACCAAGCACCGATAACCCAGGGTAGGGGCGTCGTTTCACTCCCCAACAAGAGCCCCCCTGGGCGGCGCCCCCATGGTGTAGCCGATGACGCAGTACACCAGGACGCACACGACGGGCACTGGAGGCGGGCCTTCTTTTTCGGGCAGTGCTGAGGAACGAACAACACACGCCCATACGGTCGGACCCAGGCCAGGGGAAGACCCTTCGAGAACATGAGACTCTCCGTCGGCCCAAGCAAACAGAACATCCAAGGATAAGTACCCTCCCCAGGATGCACAAGAACACCCAACAAGCACGAAGAACACAAGGGTGCCCTCCCCGAACCGACCTCGGTCCTTTACCTCGGCCCGACCGTACGCATAGGAGGTTCGGAGGGAAGAGGACTGGCCATAGGCCTAGGTACGAGCTCTGGGGCCCCAGATCGGGTGTCCGTTCGAGCGGGGGCCCCGGTCCGACAACATGCACCTGTAGCTTTAGGTCGGACATGTCCCCCTACAGGTGTATTTTTGACGACGAATAAAAAAAATAGTCAAAACAAATTCGGAAAATAACAAAACATAGTCGAAAAATCGTCCCCAGGCTATTTTTTACTATTTTTGGCGATTCCTCCTGTAGAAGGACACGCCCGACTCAACCATAGCCCCCTCCGTCCCCGTTTACGGGCATTGGTGCGTGCTGCTCGTTCGGCAAGCGCGGGGCCATCCTTCGGGGAGAGGGCGGGGGGCGGCGAGGGGGTCGGCACGCCGCGCAGGCGGCGGCCGAAGGGGCAGCTGCCGCAAGAGAGTCCGCGCGAAAGTGCTGGCCAGCCCTTGCGGTGTGCCGCCGACCCTCTTGTCTGGGGCACAGGGGGGGGGAGGGAGGAAAGACAGGCGGCGAGGCAGGCAGGAAAGGAGGCAGGAAAAACAGAATCCGAAAAGGATCATGACCAATGTAGTGACCAAGTGGGTGGACGCACGGCGGCAATGGCGCAGCAACACGGCCCGCTGAAGAAGGAGATTCGCAGGCATCCATAGAAGAAGAAAGGACAAGGTAGGCGCGTTGGCGCCACATCGGACATTCCATCCCTCCCTGACATCCCTTCCCATTGCGCTGATGTTTCTCTACCCGCGGGCGCGCGTCATAGCCGCGGTGGAACTTCCAAACTGACCCCACAGTGAGGCGCGATGAGAAAAGGGGAGCTGCGTACATGGGAGGAGGAGAAGATTGACTGCCTGTTTCAATAAACCAAATTTTGGACACCACGTTAACACATAATGGACGAGAAAACAACTGGGTCCCGAAAAGCAAAAGCAGTTGATATTGCAGGGAAGGAGAAAACAGGGGAGGAAGCAGGCGCAGCCCAGCCCAACACCAGGGCGGTGCAGGGCGACACCCGCACACTGAAACCCTGGGTGGGGGGGCGCGATGAATCCGAATAAGCACCAAGAGGCGGAGAAGGAGGAGGAGGAGGAGGAGGAAGAAGAAGAAGAAGAAGAAGAAAAAGAAGAAGAAGAAGAAGAAGAAAAAGAAGAAGAAGAAGAAGAAGAGGACACGGAGGCGGCGGCGGCGGAGGAGGAAAACGAGGACGACGAGGAGAAAGAGGCGGAGGAGGAGGAGGAGGAGGAGGAGGACGACGACGACGAGGACGACGAGGAAGAGGAGGAGGCGGCGGCGGCGGCAGCGGGGGAAAAAAACCCTCCCCCCGACGAAGGACAAGAGGCGCCTCGTCGCCGTCGGCACGCAAGGCCCCCATCACGCGCCACCGAAACTGCGAGGGTCCGTCCAGACAGGCAACATTGGCTGGGCCAGCATGCCCTTTAGATAAAGTTGAAGACCCTCCATTAGGACGCACGGGGACCTCCTAATACGATAATTCCTTCTTGGAGGCGCGCGTCCGACCCGAACATACACGATACCCATAGTGTAACGCATTGGTTCCCAAGCGGTGTGGACAGAAAGCGCCCACCTCGACGCATCTACTATAAGATGTCTCGGTGCGCGCGGCGCCCCTGTGGGGGCGACGCACATATTGCACATGTTGGGGCGACGCCGATCCATCCCCCATAGCACTGGCATCGGGCACAGTTAATGGTGTGCCCTGCGAGCTAAACTCAACCATAGAAAACCGCCCCCGGCTTCATATTCTAGAGCTCTGCTGAAGGGGTCAGCCCTTGCGCGCTCCCTGCAAGGCCTGAATCTGTCTAAGCGAGACCTTGTGGGGGCCCCACATAAACGAAATAAACCCAGCAAGGAGGTTCACTGGCCGCTGCTTGGCCCATACGCCGCGCAAGCCGCAGCAAACGCATTCTCCCTTGAACCACAAGACATGCGAGACAGCAAGCCGCTGCCCTGCAATGCAAGCAGAATGGCTGACAAACACACGCGGCTTCTCCATGGCCAGACTCGCCCAAGGAGAGGCGCCAAGTGGCCCCGCAGGCTAAACCACGCGGCGGCCTCCAGGGGGCAAAACGGGTTCCCCTGGAGCCAGGGCGGGGCAGACAGAAAGGGTGCAGTTCCGAAAGCCCCACGACTTCTCCTCGGCAAGGAGCCCACGCCCCGCGCACTGCCCAAACTTTGCAAAGTGAAACCACGAGTATGTTGTGAACGCTCAATTGAGAGACTCGAACCTTGGTAACAACTCCAGATTTGCCCTCCGGCCTGCTGGCTATCTCAGTCGCGACGGCGGCAGCGCGCAGGAACACTTGCTTGGCTCCGAGCTCTGACGCCTGTAGTGCTCTGCGCTAGGCAACAGAACTACGGCATTCCTGGCAGCTCGGCTGCCCGCCAGCTCGCCCGCTGCACGGTCGATGACAGCACCGCGCGGGTCCGCGAACCTGCTTCTCGAGCGCTCGCAACCATCCAGAACTCCCACCGTGAATCGACATTCGCTGCGCTCTGGCATTGGCTACGTCCTCGCTCGAGAGCTCGCGCGCGATCCCCATGGTCGCGGGCGACCCCCCGGGCCCAGAACGACTAACACGCCGAACTAATCAAACAAAGGCCGCGAGGTCGACTCGAGGAACTGTCTGCGTGGCACTGTCACAAACACCTGTGGCGCCATGAGACCGGGGCGGCTCGCCGACCGCATCGGTCTCGAGTCATGCAGAACTACGGGCGACTCCGCGAAACAGCGGGCGCTCGGCACAACCCCCCCTGCGCCATCGGAACTGCAAACCCCATCCAGGGAAAAAGGGCGAGGAATCACAAACACTATGCGCCGGAGAACGCGGCAAGCGAGCGCGCGGAGGTCAGGCGAATCATAGAGCAAGGACCCCCACCCTTAAAAAGAATCGCTCAACTTCATATTCTGCCAGACCCCAGGACTGGCGACGTCGGAATTGCACGTGCACTCCCAGGCCCTGCGCTGGGGGGCCTCTATCCTGAGCCACTCTGACGCGCGCGGTCATTGGCCGAACCACAGGCAAACTTGCGTTCCCCAGGCTGCGCGCGCCCCGGCAGCGACGCCCCTTTCGCCGTGCAAGCTCGACCGCGCCCACCATCACTCATGGGTATCCTTCTGAACTCACCTACATGATGCCAGGCAACTCCTCGCCCAGCACCCTTGCCAAAATATGCCTCGGCAGCTGCTGGCCACTGACTGGAACTCAGGCGCGGCGGGGCAGGAGAAATCATCATTCCGAATCCAGACGCCCCCGCTGAGTTGACGAACTCCCCCGGGTTTGGGCAGCTCCAACCTAAGTGAAGGAGCGAAGCCTGGCGGGCAGCGCTAGCCCCACTCGCCCAGCTCCATCCCCCACGCGCTCTGCCAACAGAAGCTGCCAGGCCTGCTCGACCTCGGGATGGACAAACCTCGGGCGCTTCGCCCACATATCCAGCCAGGTGACGACGAGGTGTCCAATGTGGATCTGCACCGTGCCCCTGCCCGCCCCGAGAGACAAACGAATCGCAGTGGCCGCGCGCGTTCTTGATCCACTGGCCCGGTAGCTGGCGCGCGCGCTGCGACGAAGCTGAAGCACGCTGCTGCGACTCGCCACGCGAAACTCTGGGGCCGCAGGCCCGCGGGGTGCTGACTCGCAGAAGCTCCTCGCCACTCCATGCCGCGCTTCTCACTCATTGTGGGGCGCTCGAATTCACTTGAATTTCAACCGTACTGCACGAGACTGGCCTGCCTGACATCGGTCGAATGCCTGCGCGAGAAAATTTCGCCATGCCAGTGCCACGCGCACTCCAGACTGCCTGCACTTCCCCCAACGACGCGCCAGCCGCAGCCCGAGCGCGCTGATTCCTGAGCGGGGAATGCGAGGCCAGTCAGACGCAGTTCGGACTTGAAAGCTCGCACGTTGGCCTGGCTGGGCCCTTCACCAGCGAGCGAAAAAACAACGGGAAACAGTTCGGGGATGGTGCTCTCTGTGCCGTTTTTTTGAATAATAATAATAATATATAAACAAAAAATGTCAAAGATCCACTGCCCGAGACGCAATGCGTTGCCGGGGTCAAAAGTGCCGCGCCAAGCACCGAAGAGGCACGCTCGGGAAAACGACGCAATTTGTCCACAACCTGACAGAATCGCTCCGTTGGCAAGACCCCCCCGCGAACAGCCCGACCCAGGGCGAGCACCCCCAGGTCTGCATAAGCCTAACAGCGAGAGCCAAGAGCCAGACAGGGCAATGCAATTTGACTCTTGCTTTGACAAGTGATGCCGCATCGACCTCGTCGTCAACTTTGACAGGTCAATCAGACAACCCCCTCCGAAAAAAAGAAAAACGCAGCGCCGAAATTGTGCCAACTCGTTTTTGAGCGCGCCCACAAACCGCGCGCCCTCGCCCGCGCCCCCCCCCGCTCCCACCCTGGCCCCCCGCCTGGGCCCATTTACGGGCGCCTGATTCGCGCGCCGGCGACTCGGGCAACGCCCGCGCGGGCGGGCCGCGGGCCGCGTGGACGTCTAAAAGCGCAATGATGCAAACAGGCTCGAGACAGGCGGGGGGAGGCAGAGAATTGAATCACTGAGAATATCTGAAACTGCAACTCGGCCTCTACACTGGCCTCCTTGGCGAATCTGGAGGGGGGCAAGGTCGCCACCCCCTGCGGTCGGGCAGATCTTTCAGAGAGGTCTCTAACACGCACAGACTAATGAGACGAGCGGTGGACTAGATCTCCCCTGGTTCCCGATATCCTCGA